TTTAGAAAGAAATAATCACAAATTATCATTGAGGATTATTTCAAGTATACCTGTTCCAATTTTCGTCATTTGAATATACAATGTGTCTGAGAAAAAAATTAAAAAGGATAGGTAAGCAATATTTTTCATCCTGATAATTCTTCAATCAAAATAAAAAGATGAATCAGGATCACTTGGAACATACCTGTACCGATTTTCATCATCGATAAACACAGGGTGTTCGAAAAATCAAATCAATATTTTTTTTGAGTTGATGAGAAAATATTGCCTACTTTTTCTTTTTAATTGTTTTCTCATGCGCATCGTATTTTTGAATGATGAAAATCGGTACAGATATGTTCAAAGTGATTCTCAATAATAATCTGTCATCAATTCTCCTCAAAAATACCACAATACTACATTTTCTGATCACCTATTAAAAAAAACACAATTCGTTTTTTCGGACACCCTGTGTTTTATGATGATAAAAATCAGTAAAGGTGTTTTTCAAGTGATCTCGATTCAGAATCCATCATTGTTTTTCGTGAAAAAAAATCCCTAATAGTACTTTCTCAAATATGGGTCAATAAAGTTGGTCGCAGTTGGCCACGATTACAGTTCATGCGTAAAATCACTCTCATGTTGGATGGACATTTCAAATACCTATCCAACAAAAAAAAGTTTTTCGAAATCGGTCTGATAATAACAATTTTACAGGGGTGGTAAGTCCTTAAGGTGGACACACTGTAGACAGGAAAGCTAGAAGGAAAGAAAACATAACCTTAAAATTTGTCGTTGTGGTATGAGTTTGGCTCAAAGAATGATACGCTGTAGCCAAATATAATTGAAAATAGGGAATACGTTAGGAAACCATCACTCATGATTAACTTTGTTTTGTCTTCAACTGCCATTCGTGGTTAAATTCAGTTAATCGAAAAAGTCGAACCATTTCGAAATTGGCCATTCAAATCGAACGCCATCTTTTGGCCTGGTAGACATTTTCCCTGTTGTAGGTGATTATATCATCAGAATGGTGGAAGAGTCGAATCTTTTTTCAACATTTCTTTCTAATGACGAATTTCATCGCCTATGAAAAATAAAAAATACGTACTCTAGGGAAAAATAATGATCTCAATTTAGAGATTTGTGAGAATCATTTATAGAAGTGACCCACAGAAAAGAAATCCACAAATTTTCAACTCAGTTTGCTCCTTCTCTGCATATACCTAGTGTTTTTTTGCGGAACTGATAACCTTCAATATTGAAAAATACAGTAATTCTTCTTGAATACAAAATTTGTAATTTAAATTAAATTTACTATACCACTAACGGTTTCTTAACACGTTTGTTCCTCATTATCACATCAATCCTGACCTGATAGAAGTAGGTGTCAAGTGTCAAGCCCACTAGAAAGCAATAAAATTATTATAATGGGGTATCGATTTCAAATACGTTTGCATACATACACACATCAAAAAACGACAAGTTCCGTTTCTATTAGATAATTTTATTGCCCTGTTGTGGGTTTGAACACTAGCAATGACTAGCCATCGAGAAATACAATTGCCAAATGTCAGCTTCAAAGGATTATGAAGAGAATGATATTGTTCCGTGAATATCATTTTAGTCAACACCATAGAAACTATCTGCATGGCTGGAACTAGGTAAAAAACCCTATAGGTCAACTAAGCAGACGAGATATCTCCCAAGACTGATAAATCGTCGAGAACATAACAATAAATCTATGAGTATATAAGGCTACATTCACTCTGCCTCATCTGACTTTGAACTGAGAGTATAGGAACCAACTTGATGAGAATGTATTTTTTTTAAAGGTGCAAACTTGGGTCTCTCTACCACGAATCAGTGCTGCTACTACGAAAGTTTGAAAATGTTGCTGCAGCTGCACTTCCTATACCTTCTGGAGCGTCCTTGCATGTAGACAGAACGATGTATTTAGATAACTTCAATGACGAGGGAGAAATGTTGACAACATAAATATGGACTTGGCAACAAATCTCGAATGGGGAGCCAATAACTTGGTAGAATTCAATGCAAACAAAACACAAGCATGCCTTTTCTCTAGAAAAGCCGATCTCACTGTGCCCAACATAAGGAGTAACCATACCTTTGAAGACATCCATTTCGATGCTTGGTATCACTATTAGCAATAAGCTTTCTTGGGAAAACCACGTGAGATCACTTGCTAAAAGTGCATCCCAAAAACTTGGTTTTCTGTTTCGGGCTAGGAGCTATTTCACTTCCAGTCAGCTGCTTATGATCTACAAGGCACAGATCCAACCTGTCCTGGAATACTGTTCCCATATTTGAAGTGCAGCACCCAAACATACCCTGACTGTTATTGGATTCTGTCCAAAAAATGGCAATTCTTCTGGTGGGCGATGCCTCGCTCACAAACTCGCTTACTTCTCTGGAACACCGTAAAAAAGTTGACGATCTGGCTCTATTTTATAGATATTTTCATGGACGATGCTCTTCTGAAATATCAACAATTGTTCCTCCCTTGGCAGTCCCCACGAGATTAACCCGTCGAGTTGAGGCTTCGCACTCCTTCGTGGTCACTTTGGAGACCTGCAGAACATCTCTTTCCAAAGACTCGTTCATCCAACGAACAGCGAGGCTCTGGAACACGTTGCCCAGGGAGGTGTTCCCCGAGGCATATAACCTCCAGAAATTTAAGAAGAACACCAATTCCTACCTTATTTCCTTTGGTTCTCACGATGTTCTCTGAACATTACAGGATATCCCTTTTCGTGGGAACCAGAACATAAAAAAAATCTGTTGCCACAGATCATCTATCCGTAATTAATCGATCATTTAGCGTGTTACATATCCGTACGCTAAATGCCATTTTAGTTTTGTGAGTAGAAAAAAATATATATTTGTGCCATATCGATGATTCTTCCTCGGTTCCGACGTGACTACGTGCTTTGTACAAAATCTATCAGAGTATATTATTGTAAGATCTTTGATCAATACCCTTGTATCACGTAGACACTTCGCTCATCGCTGACCTATCATTGTCCATCCCATACGATCTAGTCGCCTCGAGCTCTCCTCAGAAAAGGGCAGTCATCTGTTTCGATTCAACAATGATTCGTAATGGTCCGGAGATCACGATGGGTATTGGTCAATAATCAATGGGATTTCACTATTTTAATGACGGCTGCGAGACTATGGCTGCATCGCTATAGAATAGTTCCTTTATGTTCGGGGTCATTGTAATAAGAATGGAGATGGACTATGACTATGAAGATTGATCTTAATTTCTGACTCGTGAGACATTTATTCTGTCTTTCGTGTTTCGTGTCGAAATCATGATTCTCCATCATCGTAGAGGCAGGATCGGGTCAGATGAACTTTCTTCTGAATCGCGTACACCCAAAGCTTAAAAAAATTGAATTCATAGGGAAGGTACGTGATGGAAAATAGTATGTACTAGTAGATATTTGTACTCCCTTGGTATGTGCGCATGTAATTATCCGTAGCGTTTCGTATGGGCTTTGTTACTAACTCCATACGCCACCTTAGGAGTAGCACTTGATTATTGAAACTTATTAGTAAATTATATATGTATATGACTATTCTCAGACTTGTTTGAATCTGAATATCAGTGGGAATCTATTGAACAACGTACGTGAGTACTTATCCATGAAACAATTGAACTACAGCGAATCGTTGAAGAGCGTGAAGAGTTGAGAAATAACTAGTAAAAATGATACACAAAATTGCATTGTAGAATTGTTGGTACAACTTGTCAAAAATTATAAAATAGATATTTTCGTAACCAATTACTTAACATAAATTGGAGTGTTGAAAACCATAGAAAATGAGAACATTCAATGTGTCCCTATTTTTTCTTATTTCGATCGTTTATGCTGTAAGGAAATCAAATTGGAGATTTGTTTGGTTTTGTTTTTTTCTGGGTTTATTCAATCAAAGTTTCCCTATTGCTCTCCTCCTGAAGTATGTTAGTAAGTCAACGAGCATTCAACAATTCTATTTTTATATTATTTTGATCTATTTCCTGTGCAAAAATCATCGAGGTGAAAAATCTCACAAAATCCTATAGAAAAACATAGCAACATCGTGGAAAATTTACAACTAATATCGTAGAAAATCATCGAAGCTTGCTCATAATTATAAATGATCCCAAGGATTCAAAGAAATTGTAGAAAATAGTGGGAAATTGAGAATTAAAATCATGGATCCGAAAGAGGATAGTTATGATAATACACATAATGTTAGACATTCGTTCAAAAATACAAAAAAAACATGAGAAATCGTTCGTGAAGACTCGTGAAAACTCTTTGAAACTCGTATAAACTCATACAATTTCGTGACAACTCGTGGAAACTCGTAGAGTCAACACTCATAGAAACTCTTAGGAATGCTCAAAAATTTGTTTAGAATTGTAGAAAACAATACTTCTTGCATTCTCGAGAATGCCATTGTGAGACTGGATATTGGGCGGCGCCAACTCAGCGTCTCTAAGGCGTCCCTCCACCCTATATCCGGTACAGACGCCGGGCGAACGGCCCAAATCTATACAGGGCGAGTCATCCAAGAAGAGGGTTTCCGAGCCACTGTCAAATTGTCTTCTTCTTGTTCCAGTGACACTTATCAATCGATTAATAAAACCATCATGTAACCCAGTTCTCCTTCAATTTCTGACGATAAGAAATATTAATAGACAAAACAAAAAAGCGATTCCAAGAGAATATAATTTTCCCTGAATGTATTCCAGAAATTGCACACTCTCCAACATCAAATTGTTTCGAAACACACAACACAATGTCGAGGAATCGTGGAAACTGGTGAAAACTCGTAAACACTCGTGAATACTCTTGAAAATTCGTTGAAACTCGTAAGAACTCATGAAAACTCGTGCAAACTCGTGAAAACTCTCATAAAAACTCTTGGAAACGCTTAAAAACTCCTAAAAACCTATAAAAACACATAAAAATTCCTTCAAACTTTCATAAAATAATAATTCTTACATTCTCGAGAACGCCACTATGAGGCTGGATATTGGGAGGCGCCAATCCAGCTTCTCTAGGGCGTCCTTCCGCCCCATATCCAGAACAGACGCTGGGCGAGCGGCCCAAATCCCTACAGGGCGAGTCATCCGAAAAGAGGGTTTCCGTGCCGCTGTCGGTAGTCGCCATGTTTATTCACATATTTGAAAGAAGCGATGACAGATGACGTCACTGGTACGGGAGTTTTCGATTTTCAGTCCCGCTGTCTGGAAAAAAATGGAAAAAAATTAAAATAAATCGTATTTTTTTCAAAATTGTTTGATCGAATGTATTTGATATATGAAACAATATCGCCATCATTTTGAAGTGGACTTGAGTCATTTTTGTAATAAGGTATACGTAAATTGATAGTTACTCGCTGAATTCATGACAAAAATTCTGATGAGATATTGAGTCATCAAAATCACCCGGCGACTTGATTCTAAGATATTCGAAATCCTCACAAAATGGTAAACGTTTGAAAAATTGCAAAGGGAAATTGAGCTATTTCTCAAAATTTGTTATTGCCTATTGATGGTATACTACTTAGTAGAGGTAATTAGGTGTAACAAAAATACTCTCAAATAAATACAAAAAGCTCAGTCTTTTCCACACAATGTTCATAAAATGACCAACAATGGTAGATTTCCGGAGAAAAACAACTACTTTCCTGGTTAATTCCACGCAGAATTCCTCACGAAATATATGCATCGACTCGTATAAACGAATACTGATACAAGTGATTCTTTCCTGAATGCCTATTGATTTCGATTTAGACAGGCCACCCTAGACACCTACAGACCGGTTTCGAGCTCTTTGACTCTCTTCAGTGCATGACAGTCTCCAGCCAGCAGTCCTAAGACCGCCGACTAAGCGTAGCCTTGCCAAATAAAAATCAAGTCGGCATTATATCCCCTCAGAGGCGTCTTCCATAGACAATATGGGAGCAACGCCATCTGAGTAGATAAAAAGAAACACTCCAAAACCAGAATTCCCATACGGGAGTGGCTGGTTGCCCGACTGGCGTGTTTTCAACTACGAAATACTCTTGCTTATGTTCTTATTCCACCAAGAAAAACTACCTCGATGTATTGTCATTCATTTTGGACACCAAATTGAGATCTCAATAAGCGATTATTCAATATAAAGAAATCTTTTCTCGGCGCACTATACCAGAACGAGGATTTTATCTTCATTTAACTTTTTTTTTTCTTCGTATCATGTACCACTCGGTTTGATAAACTGGTTTGTAACTGTACCTGAGTCAGAGCACAACAATAAAAAATATTATCATCGCTAACATCACGGGGTATTGTCCCTATTTTTTTTAATAAAAGAAGGATTACGGAATATCTCGTGATAAGTTGTAATTAAAAACAGGTTCTGAATTTAGAGGATGAGTAGTAGATAGATTCGGTGACGTATGATTGATTGGGGTTGTATACATTTTCAAAACAAATGTCCTCTTGAGATATACAGAGAAGTGCACAAAATACGGCCAGGGACGTAACTTTTCAAATATTCGAGATAAGGTTTTAAAAATTGGTGGGCAAAATTGCTACCCACCAATTTTCAAAACCCTATCTAGAATAATTCAAAAGTCACAATCCTGGCAGCTTTCTATGAACTTCTCTGTATGTCATTGAGAAGGGAATTTTTTGGTCTATCCAAAAATATCTACAGGGTTCCATTGAAAATTCTCGATCCAGGCAATGTTCGGTAAAACCGAAATGGATATATAATCGTTTTTTCATGGAAAATGTGTTTTAAAGACTTCAACCTCATCTTCGATTCGAATACCAAATGTCTGACATAAAAAACAACTGAAAGACGTCCGGAACAATGATTACGTTGTTATCCGTTATAAGAGCTGCCTCTTGAATTCAATTTGAGAGATGAATGAAAAATTAACTGAAAAACAATTTGATATTCTATGCTCTGCAACTCTTGTGTTTCGAATTATCTGCTAGCACTTGAGCTTATCACATTGATTTTACAAATCCAGTATTTTGTTGGATACTCCTGGGCACCCTGTATAATTTTTGTGAGGTTGAACCAGCTTATATCTAATACAAAACCATGGCGTGACCGTTTGTGCAAATCAGTTCATCGATTTTTTTCTTTTGTTTCAATACGCGTAGGAGCATCTCTCACCTTGAGACAGTATAAGATAGAATCACGTAAAAATGCACTGAATGAAGGCGAGATCTAAATAAAACCGTTGTGGTCAACGATCATATCGATAACTTTGCTTCAGGTGTTTTAATCCTATTCGAAACAAGCTTGTTTTTCGGAACATCAAGTTCGAGAATAGAGAAGAGATTCAGCTAGAGAAGTCAATTAGGCTATGCAGGGTTCAATTTCTATTTGTTATTGACGCTCATTCAAAATGGAATTTACATAGTAAGTACATTGTCAATAAATTGAGGACAATTTTATTCAGATTTAGAAAACTCAAAGATATCTTACCGCTTAAGTACCTCAAAACTCTATACTATTCTCTTGTGGAGATAGCTTTAAATACTCATATTCATACTCATATTCATTCATAGTTCATACCATCGAAGTTATGCGAAGACGTTTTCTAAAACTGATATTTTCCAAAAATAATAGATATCCTTCTGATGAACTATATATACACTGAAACACAGATGTTGGACATAAAACAATTGTATTTTTTGTGCTCCAGCAGTAGATATCATGCGAACAAACATATAGCATCCCTTCCTTCTCATCAGCACAATACTCGTCAAAGGGATCTTTATTTCACACCACTTATGGTGAGGGTCGTTATAGATAGTTCTTTATTTAATAAGGAACCCTTAAATACATAATTAAATAAGAAGGCATACTACAATATATATACACATATACAGAAATGAAAACTAAGTTGAACAATTGCAGAACAGAAATGTTAAAATGACTATCATGAAATAGCTACGATGAAAGTAGAATAATAAGATTAAAAACAGTAGGATAACAATAAACGGCAATATAAACATAAAAAAGATAAAATACTGAAAAGACATATGGAATACACCATGGAGACCTTACTTAGCTACTTTATTAGGACGAATTCCTTCAATTCAGCTTTGAACTGGATGAGTGAAGCAGATCCCTTCACAGACTCTGACAATTTATTGAACTCCAAAAATCCTTTGAAAAATAGCGAATTCATGGTACTACGATAGGAAGTACTAGAAACATAGATGTCATTTTTGCCACGCGTGTTATAATTATGAATATTTTTATTGAATTTTAGGTACTTCTGAAAGTATTCTGGTGCTAAATGATTTACTATTTTGTAAATGAGAATCATAGTGAAATAGTACAGTCTGTTTTCCACTGAAAACCAACTAAGAGTCATTAACATTGATCTTATAGGGGTGAAGCTCAACGCTCCTATACTTACTTTGCTCCAAAGCTATATATATAATAGCATTCCTGAAATCATCGAATCACTAGTGAGTATTCACAGCTTCAAAAAACAACTGAAGAAACACATACTTCGATGTCAAACAATTCACCTGCCACGACTATTCGAGTAAATAAAAATCCTACAAATTGTGCAAAATAAGTCTCTACGTACTATCGCCATGTATCGATCCATAATTCAAAATTTTTTCTTTATATTTTTCAATTTTGAATTGATTTAGAATATAGTCACTATTTATGTATATCCATACGTATATTTTGTATATTTATGTTCGTTTCGATAAGTATATTTTCTACTACTTTTTATGTATCCATGTATATTTTTGTATTTCATCTATATTTCTTCAAGGAAACAAGTACATTTTGTACTAATCGTTCTTTTCGAACTTTTGCAAATGAGGAAAAAGCGCATCGTGTTCATGAAAAAAGAAGGAAATTGAAAAAAAATTCTCGCCACAATTTTGGCATTTTGATAATGTATCTGTCAGCTACCAGATCAAAATTTGCCATGATGAAAATTGAACATAAACACCTGTTTTATAGAACTGTCTCTGAATACCCCATCGATAGAGAGAAATACGTAGATCCTTGATTCTAATGTTTATAGTTATGAATGCACGTTTCGAAGGCTACAAGCATGACATCCTGTATAATGGAGACCCGTTAGGTACTATTGTAAGTACCAGCCACCTGTTGTCGATAGATTGACCACACCAGCGATTTATTTGATGGCTTATCTATACCTCCTTGGATTTTATAGCCATGTTAAGTATAATCGTCCATTTTTTTTCTTAATATAAACATCAAGGTTGATTTGGACCAGTAGCGTCCATGCAGAGCTAATAACCAAGAAAAAAGAATAGTAGTTCAAAAAACTGAAAACCAACCCGAATTTTGACGTAATATTAGGAAGGAAAATATTATTTTCTGCACAAGGAAGGATACTACCTTTTCCGAACTACCTAACCTAACCTAACCTCGGCTTAAATGAACGTTCTTCCTAGGAAATATATTTTTCGTATACCCAAAAACTTAAGAGGTCATAAGAGACTTACTTCTTTTTTGAAACAATCTAACCCTAGTGGGCCCAAGCGGATAATCTAACCTCACTCTGCCTAAATGAACCTTCCCAAAGACTATATTTTTCGGAAAATTACTTAAAAGGACAAATGAGACCTCTTTGTTCAAACAATTGAACTTGACTCGGTTAAATGAAAATTGGGTAAATCGAAAATTGGGTAAATCGAAAATTGGACGAAACGAAATGTTGGCCTCACGACATATTTGAATATGAAATGATTGTTGATGAATTCCCGTTTTATTGAATCCGAGGAAATGTAGCATTATTTGACAACAACGCATTTTCCGGGTATGTTCGGGGACTTGGTGCAAGACACAGCCGTGTCTCTGGATGTAAAATAACTTATCCTGAAGATCCTAATCAGGATAATTAAACAAAACTATCAAATTGAGAAGTGAAGTGGGTCGAAATCAACCGCCTCTCTGGATATAACTATTTACACGGGTACTTGGTGCAAGACACTGCTTTGTCTCTGTATACAGAAAGCATAGTGGAAAGCTATTTGGAGAAACAAGAAAAGCAACTTTTGAAATGAATGTACCACCTCTATTAACCTGCAGACCGTGGAATCAGAATAAAACTAAAAACAAATCGTTTCACCCCTATAAGATCAAAATGTTAATGACTCTTAGGTGGTTTTCAGTGGAAAACAGACTGTACCTACTATATTTCACTATAATTCTCATTCACACAATGGGGAAGACCACTGAGGGAAGAAATCCGAGCAAACCTCTTTCAATCGACGAATCATGATTTACGTTTGATCTACAATCGATATTATGAGTTGAAGTTGAAGGGAATCGAATCTATATCGTTTTGAAATCAGCATATTTCATTCGTTATTTCGAAAAGCCAAATATGATGGTGGAGCTGTGACGTATTAGTCCCGCACTGTAGCTATCTCTCTCTGATACCTCGTCATTCTGCAGTGTTGCAGTGTGATTGGTGAGTTCAAGGGCAATAGGCGTGTTGGGACTAAGACGTCGCACCAGTCTCACCAATGAATTGACAAATTTTAAAATGGCGCAGGAATTGTGTGTTTAGAAATGGTCATATTCTAATTCTTTTTTTCATCGTCATAGCATGAATGAGAAAATTCAAAATTAATTCACTGGTAGTTTTTCAGTATAGAGTTCACGATAATGTCGTTTCAAAAAATCAGTGGTCTCCCCCATTGTAATCATTTAGCCCCAGAATACTTTAAGAAGTACCAAACATTCATAAAAAATATTCATAATTATAATACGCGTGGCAAAAATGACATATATGTTTTTGGCACTTCCTATCGTAGTACCATGAATTCACTATTTTTCAAAGGATTTTTGGAGTTCAATAAACTGTCAAAGTCTGTAGAGGGATCTGCTTCACTCAACCAATTCAAAGCTAATCTGAAGGAATTCATCCTAAATAAATTAATAGCTAAGTATTGTGCATTCCATATGTATATTTAGTATTTCGTCTATTTTATGCTCATATTACCGTTCATTGTTATTCTACTGTTCTTAATCTTATCATTCTACTTTCATCGTAGGTATTTCATGAATGTCATTTTATAGTATATTATGTAACGAGTGTTATAAACGTCCTTTTAGTAACGAGTATTTTAAGCACGAGCGGAGCGAGTGTTCAATAAACGAGTATCTAGAAGAGTTTATAAACGCGTTACATACTATGCTATTTCTACGAACTCCGAAAATCACATTAACAGACCTGCTATTCCTGCTAAGCTACAAAATAATTCGAAAGGAATGGGAATTGAGATCATAAGACATGCAACTGCATGCAACCAGCGAGACACGTGTAAGTGATATTGGTTGTAGATGTGTCCAGTCCATTGCTTACAAACCTTTGTTTCACGTTTAATGTCATGCTTGGCGCAGAATAATTATATCGTTCTCAAAGATGGATTCTTCATTTTTACACTTCTTGGAGGCATGCAAGAACTAGAACATTTCCTTCGATTACACTTCCGTCTACATTTCGCATATATTTTTGATGAAGAACTCTGATACCATAGATCTGATACAAATGAACATTGTTTGAATAACTCTGATACAAAATTTGAAAATAACAGTTGATAGTTAATACAATTGACAGGCCAGGCATGTCTCAAATTACTGAAGCTGTGTGAACTGTGTTGCCATGGTAATGTGTGTAAGAAATCGTGTTGCCATGGTAACGTGTTTAATATTTCGAATAAATCACAGATCGTGATTAATCGATCATTTATCGTGGTACATATCTGTACGCTAAATGCCATTTTAGTTATGTGAGTAGAAAAACATTCATTTGTATTACATTTTTTCCCATCTCTGAATATGTGTATATATATTGTAATATTATGCTTCATTATTTTATGTATATTATGGTTCCTGATTAAATAATAATCTGAATATTCTGAAGTACTGATAGTAAAATTACTGAATATAGTAGTTTGTGATCTTCATTAAAAAGTTTGTGGTTTCCAGAGAAGAATACATGAGTAACAAAAATAGTAATTGTGCAAAATAACCCCATTTCAGTCCAGTGTCACATAATAACAAAAGTACAATTTTTGTTTCATGGTGACCCCTTCTTCATCAAGTTACGCCTCTGGCTTCTACAGTGCGTTCGATAGCCGTTGTCTGGATCGACTGGAATTCGTTGATTGCCTGCTTTTAGTGTGAAAGTGTTAAATAAATGTTATTCGGTCATTACGAGAACTCCGGCGTGGAAACAGGATGTCATCGTTTTTAAAGTTACAACAGATGATTTATCGCGAGTATTGTCGTCGTCTCCTTATCAGGTAGTCGATATCATGAATTATTCTTTGTAAGTTTTTTATTTTTTGGGATGTAAGTGGATTTTTGCTTCAATTTGACAATAATTGATAATCAACAAGTTTTCGGGAAGAGATGTTTCAATTTCTCAGTCACATTTGAAATGAAACAGTTGGCTGTTGGAAATACAATTATTTTGATAGTGGAGCCGATTCTATATTCACATTTGACATGACATATTTGTAGCCACCCTCACAATATGAAATGTCTAACCCTCGGAAATATGGTCAATTGTCAGTCAACCAGCTCTACGTCTACACATCACACAAGCAGAAAAACAGAAAAAATGAAAGAGACATTCAGACTGTAACACGGAATACTAAAAACTATCTAGAAGAAGATTCAACGTCTTTTATAGGAGTTTGAAAATCTCCTCAATTCATTGATGGAACACCTATCGAACTAATGTCTTCATATCTGAAAAATATAAAACAACTGGTCAAAATTAATGACACTACATCTGCACTCAGAATCATGACCCATATAAAATCGACCTGTTTTTTCGGTTTCTCATATTATTCTTTGGAAGGAAAATATTGAGGGTGGGTAGTTTCAAAAATGTCACCCTGTATATGAAATATTCATTTCAACACTAGTTATGTGATAAAAATATAAATGGAGGAAGAGAATAGTGCAATTTATCCTAACACGACACTATTTATTTTCGAACTGATTTATTTGAACTAAAGAAACACTAATTTATATCGAACATATAACTACTATTTATGTAAAACGACTTATATCACGCGGTATATGACTATCTCTCTGACACTCGCTGCTTAACTGACTGACGGCACTTGTCCGGCCGTTTATATATGAGATCCCTTAGTAGGCTTTGGTTCGAGAACGTTCTCGAATGATCTTCCGTCTCCTTCTTTTTGTTCTAGAAGCTTCTTAGAACAATACCTATCTCTCTAATTGTTCCATCGATTGTTTCCAGAATATTCCAGAATCTTCTGTCACGTTATTTGTCACCGCGGCATATATTGAGTGTTCGGAAATATGCTGGTGCATGTAGGAATCATTGGGAGGTTGGAGAACAATCTGGGATGCGTGTTACAGGATGATCGTTGTACTCCTGCCTTCCTGCTGATGTTTCTAGAGCCCCTCTAAGGGAAATATCATTACAGTATCATTGTTTGACGGATACTTTAAAGTGACAGGCGAAGTCAACTTGCCTACCGATTGCCTACTAAACTCATGTAGAACTGGTTATTTCTGTTCAAGCGAAAATTTCTACTAAAATTCGAAAGAATATATTGTACGTTACACGTTAGGAAAAGCATTTTCTGTAACTCTGTGTTTTGGGGGAACTCGCTTGTACTTGTAGCATGAAAAAACTAAAGAGAAAACGCTACAATTTTCGCAATTAACGTTCAAAACTGTTCTTGAAAGATATCTTAGAGTTGTGGGGGTGTCATGCAACAATAATCACCCTGTACTAACTGTCTTGTGTATCTCTTTGCCTCACCCATCCGGAAGAATTATTTGCCGAGCTTAGAATAGAAGGCTGGTAATGGTAAAGTGGGAAGGATGTATCTAGTTGACAAATACGTCCTGTGCGTATATATTGCGAACTATAGAGATGGGTGTAGACATCCACTAATTTACATAAAGTAGTTGGTATATCGAATTATGTCCTTCAGATAATTTAGTTGAGTTGAATTTTTTGAGCTCTTCGAAGATCGGAGATATTCATCGGTCCGATGGCTAAATTGGTATCGTTGTTGTTAAGAACTGTTTTGACCACCCTGATGATTTTCCACTATTCATATTTGGTATCCTATAAAAACAACATTTATCAATGTGAAAGCTGTGAAGTTAGTCATTCATCTACTATTTCATTGATTATTGCTATATATTTCTGCCTTCTTAACGTCAATTTAACCTTACAATTGATATACTCTACAAGCACTTGGTTGAGACAATTGCTACATTAAAATCAGTCCTCCTGATATCCTCGTACTAGTAAATGTAAAGCAGCAAGTATCTGAAATACTAGGCATTAGTTATAAATATGCTCAAAGTGCTCCCCTTACTGATATATTAAAAAAAAACTGAGCTTTATTTTACATGTAGTAGAATAAAAGTAGCCCCTCAACGTCTTTTATCTGTGATTCTATTAATGGTATCAAAGCCAATATTTTTTGGCATGAGATAGGTTTCCCGAAATTTAAGGATTGATTCAACATGAAGTTTTTAATACATTATCCATATATGCCTCAGAGAATCTGAAAATCTGAAAGTGGTTCAAATAACCACTGACCTTCATATTAACCACCCGAATGACAGTTGGATAAAATAACCACGCTCTTAGTGAATAGGACCGATTGATGGGAAAAGTTGGTTAAAATTAATGCATCAAAACCATTCGAAATTCAAGCTATATCTTAAAATCTAACATCAACTTTGCATTCTCTTGTTATTACTACTACAAAGTGCTCCTCACGAGTATACATGAACTGCTCAAGAGCTTCCCAATTTTGTGTATAATATTTTCTATTTTTCACATTCATTCTGATTGAACCATACTCAATTCCTTCTATGTTGCTCAAGAACACCAACAACAATAGCTCATGATTACAATAGTAGTTTACGCGAAAGAGAATCAAAATTTCCTGGTCAATCTCTGTGCTCTAAAATTGCTCATATATAGCTCACAGGTCATGAACTCTTTGTGTGTACTGTCTTACGTTATTTAGACTTATGACCCCCGTATAATTCTTTCTGTTCTGTGTTCCCAAGGGTTTTTGTTCTTTGATGTTCATGTCATTGTCACCTGAACATTCTCAAAATTTTGTTTTTTCGAATATCTAAGAATACTGAATAAGTTTGATGTTCACCTTTGTAGATCGAAGTTCGAAGACTGACTCCAGAGTTCGATTTCGATCATTAGAATTGTCGATTAAATTATTCCCATCTCTAAACACAGCTCATTTGGCTCATTATGCCGTTACTCGGTCAATGTTTTTGCGTGCAGATTATTGCATTGTTGCCTACACATGAATATTCAAAGAAGTTTCCTTTGCAGATTCCCACATTAGCTACGGACTTTTTTTCACTGCCAACGTTAATGAAAATAACTATATGGAAACAATACCGATGTTTTTAGGAAGCTATTATAATAATTTATGTATGTTTTTTCTACATTCGCATGTTTTTTAATATAAGATATTTTTGTCATTTCTTCGTTGGTTTAATTGACAATATCAATTCACCGTTTATCATTAATTTCATTCATGCGTATGAGATAATATATGAATGGAACAACATACCTATCTCTCGATCTCTCGATCTGTCATTAATCAAAAAAGCTGATTTTTAATTCAAAACATGACGAGAAAAAGCCCAGAGATATTTTTAAAATTTCAATTCCTTCTAGTTTTCCCAAAATAAATTCCCAAAGAAATGTTTTTGTGAGGACACGTCGAAAATTAGTCAGCGAAACTCTGACGTCACTGGTACTATAACACTTCGACCGTCTATTGGTAGTCGAGAAAAATCGATAGTTCTTCATTCAGTAAGATAATCAGCGTTGCCGTCTCTACCAATAGTTCAGCTAGTTTGGATATTTAAACATTCGTCTCCATCAAGAAACTCCATTTCAACAAGGTTATGGATGAACTGAGCAAGACATAGATATAAGAGTTGAATGACATTATATGGTTTTATGCTCCATGATAGACTCATCACTATTCGCGGGAATCAATGTTACCAGGTGGCGCTCGGTTTTCATCGTTCCATGTCAAAGCCACGTCAAAACTGGGGGAAAACAAACGCAATCCTCACTCAATCCCATTAGTGCCATTAGCTTGTGTACTGTGTACTGATAAGAGTGATAAGTTTTTAAATTTCTTGTCATTAATTGTCAATATTCGATCGAAAACGCCTGTTGTAGATGTTCTTTTGGCAGATACTTTGCTCTATTTAGATGGAAAAAGCCGACCAGTGGAAGGAGAAGCAGTTCTCCGTGCTAATCATGTGATTTTGTGTGAGGCAGAAGACTTCAACAAAAGGCACATTTTTGCACTTTGTCTACAAACTTCGGCGATGAAATCTTCCCCACATGAAGTAATATTGAAGTTGGGGTCCAGAGGAACTCCTGTAGAACAATGGATTTGTATTTGTTCATGCAAAGCAGTACAATCTGGGTATTGTAAACATAGTGTAGTGTTCTTTTATATGTCAATTGATTTGCTCGTCATAATTAGTTTCAATTGTTTGAACTGTTTTCTCCAATTCTTCACCCGTTCACTGTTCACTCAACTAATAAAAATGTAATAGTGTAAAAAAATTGACCAACTCAACCATCATCACTACCAACAGTGCCAACACTTTATGTCATGTCATTGACAAGTTTGACTACAGCTACAGCAATGTAGTCTATGCACTTTATCCATAGGCAACAGTTTGTTTTCCCCCAGTTTGAAGTTCGTATTATGTAACCTAGATGTCGTCCACTTCGTGAATCTCGCGAATATCACTGTCATCAATAATTATTGTTCCTATGCAATCTAGATTGTAGATTGTAGATTATGGATGGGTCGTATAGACACGATAGATCTTCTAGGTCACAGTGATGGAGACACTGTGACCTAGAAGATCTATTGTGATTACCCTTATCTAGTTTTGGTCCTCTAACCAAAGACTTCTGATGAAGCCTAGAATTTTCCTGACGGCTGTTGAGGTGGTACCGTCAAATGAGGTAAAACGGATCATACAATATCTGAAGAAACTATTTCCGAAGGAGAGGAAGACAATATCATAGAAAAAGAAAATTCAACGTCAGAAGGAGATGACCAGAACTATAAAGGGATATAGGATGTATATTGGTAAAATAGAATACTCAATAATTGATGTGCTGAATAAAAAGAAAGGGACCAAACAAATAATGTTTGTGTACCCAAGAGGATGTTGCGATCGTGAAGAGTGTCAAATAATTAAGAAAGTGGTTGGACACGATGAG